CGTTTATTGCGTTTATATCTCGTTTATACCCTGAAGCCCAGCGATTCTTGAAAAACCGCAAAGTAGGAATAGTAGTACAAGTAGTAAGTAGTAGTTTATTTTAGTATTTATATACAGATATTAAGGCGTTTTGAACTCTTCCCACACTGTTGCAATATTCTAAACAATGTTTCTAAACGCTCTGAAAAAGCACAGAATGTCATGATTTCCCTCTCTGTGCCTCCACTGCTCTCAGCCACCTGCAAGCGCTCTTGGCCACGCCCACTCCTCCACTCTGCAGCAGATTATCTGATCAGCTGTTCAGCTGCAGGAGGAAGTTTATCCTGCAGTAAGAGCTGCACAAAGGTTTTAGGAGGAATCTTTTTCTACAGTTGTAGGCAGCACAAAGGAGCAGCAGGCGCTAAATAATTAAAAATAATTTATTTAAAATAAAAATTCCATGCCGACCGTGTGGCTCATCCATCAATCAACCAATTGTGTGCCATGTCCAGTTTTATTTTGTTAAATCCAAAGTTGTCACTAAGATCAGTTTCACACAAGTGATCCCTAAATGATGCAGAAATTGTGTTGGAAGCATTTATAGGTCTCTCAATTTAAAACCATGACAACCACATAAACATGGTAGGCAAACAATAGAATCCCCATCTATTTATGAAAGTAATCCTACTTTAAGCAGGAAAAAAAAAATGTCTGCTTTGCTTGCCTTCAAGATGCCAGAGAAGGGATTCTTCATGACTGGCAACAGAGGGTGAAAAGTTGGAGCAAGTGATGTTAAACCAGCCAGAATGGCAGGAAGAAAAGAAGACTGTACAACCATTAGTGGCAAAGAGCCTGGTTAGGAAGGAAGGATTTGACTCAAAGAATGTTGCCAAGCACACACTTGGAGGGCTTGAGGGCTGCGGCTGCCATGAGGGACTCACACAGTAATTGGAGCGAGAGAACCGGATTCTTGGCAGCTCGGTCATGAATCACCCTGGTTTTGTCAATAAAAGTGATCAGCTCAATCTGGCTGAGTTAGAATTTGTGTTGGTGAGTAGACATAGAACAGAAACAGCACACCTCAAACTGACAGCCAGAGGACAGGAGGAAGAGCATGGTGGAGGTGTCATAATATGTAGTGCTATATATAATGCAATAAGAGGAAATGTTATGGGATACATCACTAGCTGGGTTTCTGTTGAAGATGTATGCACAAAAAAAAAATAGAAAACACCAGTTTTGTTTTGTTTTTTTAAATTAAACCTTCTTTTTTAAACAGAGTTAATTTACATCTGAGCTGATGGAAAATGTTAGAGATTTTTTGATCAAATATTATGAATGTTTTATTGAACTTTATACTTGTGGCTGAGAACATTTTTCCCCTCTGCCCTGAGAACAAGGAGCTCGGTTGTCTCCCAAAACGTTCTTTTATCTCGGACTGAAGGATGTCTCTTTGTTGCCCATGAACCATACATTTGTGCAAACAAAGAACGTTGAACTCTGCTGAGAATGTTATAAAAGTGAGCAGATGACACGGCTCGCTGCTCAATTCTGTGTTTGGTCTTCATGCATATACATTTATGTCTGTTTATGTATGTAACATGTCCCGAAATTTGCCCTTTCAAGTAAAATCCCGGTAAAAAAGTTTCACATTTTGTGAGTCGTGGTTCTTTTGAGTAAAAGTTGGAGAACGAGAGAATTTCTCCAACAGAAAACCAATGATATGAGTCATTTCACTTGCTACTCAACAAACTGATTAGAGGAAAAAAAAGGCATTTTTATTCTTAGAAAACTAACAGAACTCACTGATGACAAAACAAACACACCAAACTCAGTTGAAAATGTTAATTTTTTTATTTTTTCAAGACTTACCCGAAAATAGTAAAACTTCAACACTTTTCAAGATCTGATATCAAATTCAGATTTTAGTTGGACGGAAAACCAGCTAGAGTCTCTGATTTTACTTTGGAACCATTAATGCCAGCCACAGAGGAACTCACTGAAAGCATCGCGTGAGATTATTTTAAAGTGAGGAGTTAAATCGATTGTTTTGCTCTTTCAGGATTCCCCTGTGTGCGCCAAGACACTCAGTTGCAAAATCAAATCAAGTTTATCAAGCGTACTGAAACAACCGGAGACGACCAAAGTCTACTTAACAACACAACCAACAAATGAACAGAAAGATATTAAACCACGCAAAAGTAGAACAAGAAAACATTTAACGTAAGACATAAAATGTAGCAATAAAAATGCGTTACACAATGAAATATATGAGTAGTTTAGATTTGAATAATGTGTTATTTTAAGCTATAATAATCATTGTGACCAAATTACAGCTAGCAGCCTTCTACTGCTAACTTTAATTCACACTTTTATATTGATATATTCTAGTTGCCACAGGAATCTGAAAGGATTGTGACCTTTACTTTGAAAGCTTAACCCCAATTAACTGTAATAATGAGAAACTCACAGCTGAGCTGAGTAAAACATTGAGCATGCACATTTTACATTTTTTTCTACTCGTGTCTTTCATTGAAATTAATCAGTTTGCAAATATGAAAAGCTACAGTATATTGGATAGATACTAAAACCATCTACAATCATGGTGGATGACAGAACAGGAGTTTGAACTTATACAAGCAAGACTTGCAAGGGATCTGTACAGTGGACATTTAAAACAACCACACACGCATGCTGCTCTACTTTATGTACCTGTTAATGGCACGCTGTGGGTGTAATAAGTTGTTATGGTGAAGTGGCTGACCTAATGCATTAGATTGAGTTCACTGTCAGGTCTTTAAGTAGCTGGGATCAGAGGCAGATACACAGCTAATGGATCCTTCTCTCCGTGGGTGGAATAACACAGCAATAGCTCTTTATTAAATGCATTGCTGACAGAAAAAAGACACAACTTAACTTTAAAAAAATGAGACAACAGCAACTTGCTTAACATCATAATCATTTTACATTTTCATTCCCATGATGCACAGCCAATTTAATTGATTTACACTTGTTTATATGGGGGTAATGTGATTAGGTTATGCATTACAATGCTGCAGGAAACACACAAATAACTGAACAGTGACGAGCAAAGAAATATGTTTTAAATCCCTACTTCTCAAGAAATGGTTGCTGAGTCCTTGTCATGGTATTACTTTGAAAAATCACTCATCTAGCTGGTGCTCGAAAACTAAACCAACATGTGTGTTTTGGAGCATACATTTCAGAAGGAGAGCTTCAAAATTATTCTACATATCTGTGTCTCTGAAGCTTTTAATGAGTGAAGAAGGACAGAACTGTTTAAATAAATGTTCAGAAATCCTCATGTGACCACTGATTAAAACTAGAAATGTAAAAATACAAGTAAAACCAGTATTGTATATATCTTGCCATGTTTGTATCGTTGGTCTTTTTTTCTGTTTTTGTTCGTGTAGAACAAGCAGAATGTGGTGTCAAAGCAAATAGACCTTAAGGGGAAGGAGCCAGAAAATGGGGTACTTTTGTCCCATACAATATCAGACCTGAGAATCCCTCTGTCTTATGAGGTCCGACTGGCTCCCATCACCACCTACATCACTGGTGACTACATAAGCCGGACCATCCAGTACTCAGAACGTAAGTCTCTTTTAAAGCTTTTGATTGATTTCTAAAAAGTTTTTACTTTTTAAAATTCTTCACTTACATCGCTTGATGTGCATATTTGAACTTTTTTCTTACAGCTTACACTTACCCAAGATCTTCAGGTAAGACTGAACATCATCTTTTTTTTTTTTCACATTTTACAATCCAGAAGGTGCTTCTGAGTGTCTGGTTGATAACTTGTTTATTTTATGAAGGCACACTGACTCTAGATGGAAACAATGAAAACCTCTTTTTGTTTTCTGCTTGCCTCTGAAAGTGGAACTCAAATCAAAGAATGATGTGACCCTGAACTAAACACATTCCAGCTGCAAAACAAAACTAGTTGATTTTGCAATAACCAAGCTAACTTTAACTAGAGAAATTGCATTTCTTGTGAAAATGCAGTGTGAATGCTGATTGCAGAAGAACTTGCTGAGAAATAGCTGAAATTAGCTCAATAACAAAACAAGCCTAAATTAGCAGAAGGACGCAGAAATAACACATTTGTTGAATTAGGTTTAAATAAGCAGAAATGAGCATAGAAATTATGAAATTACCTTAAAAAAAGGCTGAAATTAGCAACCAAAAAAAAAAGCTGAAAAGTAGCGGAAAAGACAGGAAGAAGGCTAAACTACCAGAAGCAAGTAGAAAGAGCTGAAATTAGCTAAAAATGTGGAATTAGCTGATAAAGCTAAAATTATCAGAAAATCAGCTAAATAGAAGCTGAAATAGATGAAACTAGTAAAATTAAGATGAAAGGAGCACAACATACTGAAATAAGCATAAAGAAGTTTGAAAGTAGCAAAACTACCACAGAAATATGAATTTTTCTGAAAACAGCCAAAATTAGCGACGGAATGCAAAAAATGGTAGCCGAAAAGGTAGAACAAGCTTAAATTAGCTGAAGAAAGCAGAAAGAACATGTTTGCCTAATTAGGCTGAAAAAATAAAAAATGAGCACAAAAAAGTAGAAATTATCTAAACATAGCTGAAATTTGAAGAAAAAAAAACTGCAGAAAAGTTGCTAAAAGGCAGAAAGAAACATACATTACCTGAAGGAAGTGGAGAGAGCACATTTTTTTTACTGATCTGAACAAAAAAAGGTTGAAATGAGTGCAATTAGCTGAAAAGCTAATATTTGCATAAACCTGCTGAATTGTAGCTGAAATATTAGAAAAAACTGAAACTTGCCAACATAAGCTGAAAGGAGAATAACAAGCTGAAATTAGCAGAAAGAAGTTGGAAGAAGCACAAAAATGTTCTAGTTAGCAGAAAAAAGACGATAGGAGCACCAAGCAGCTGAAAAATAATAAACAGCTGAAATTAGCTGAAAGTAGTTGAAAAGTTCAAATTTGCGCAAGGAAGCTGAAAGAAGTTGAACCATAACAAAATATGAAAGGAGCAGTAAAAGGTTGTAAACCGATCTAAAGATTTGAAGGATGTAAAATGAGCTCAATTCATTTTCTATGAGAAAAAAGTAGCAGAAAAGGCTAAATATTTCTAAAAGCTAAAGTTGCACCAATGCCAAAAGTCATAAGAGGATTGTCCTGAAAGAGCTGAACATTTTGATATATGATTTGTTGAAATGGCTAAAAAACTGTCACAATAGTGTGAATGCTTCATGAGCATTCACACTATTAGCAATACAAATTAATAATGGCTTGTTTCTCCCTGCATTTTATTCATCTAACATTTAGATGAATACAATGCAGAGAGAAGAACAAATCAGTCCTCACAGTTTTGGAGGACACATGCTTCTTTGTATATAAAAATAAAGGGGTTAAATAGAATATGGAGAGTCAAAGTTTATACACCATGAGTCATCAAGGGAGACAGTCACAGAGCCAAACAAGTGTATCTGTGAAGTAGATCACATCACATCCCTCTAACTAATAATGCTGTGTAGTTGTATGTAATTCTGCAGCCATGAGATAAATCAGGGTGCAGTCAGTATGAATGAAACTTTGATTTTATTACCAAAAAACGCAGGAAAAAGCAAATAAACAGAAAAACAAATGTTAAACATTAATTGAATCTGAACATGCTTTATGGGCATTTTAAATGCCTATATGACAGTGATTTAACTATATGAAGCTTGTATTAAACATGACGTTGGTTAAAGGATATGAGCCAAAATGTTCTAAAATATTCTTACATCTCACCCAAAAACCTTGCTTTCGTTCAGCTCTGTATATACGTTACTGTTTTGCAAAATTTCCCGTCTTTCTGCCTTTTTTTTCCCGTATTTCTCTTGGCGTCTTCGTCTTCCTCAATCAGTCGCATCTCGTCTGTTTTCTTCATTAAGAGACACATTGCATTTTTCTGGCAGGAGTGGCAGTTGGCTCTGCCAAGGTGAGGCAATTAAAACAACAGCAGATTGGAACAGACTGCGAGAACAACGGTGTAAATTGAAAGCAGCGCATGTAGTGGAGAAGGGTGTGAATAGTAATAGATTAGCTCCGTGAAACAAAAGTGAATGTACAAGACGTCCTTGTGGAGAGCACAAGCCGTGTGCGTCTTCATCAGACTGTGTGTGTGTATCTCTGTGTGTCTCTGGGATGCTCTCGCTGAAGCTGTCAGCTTGGATGGTTGTAGATGGCTGTTGTTATGCTCTCTTGTTTAGTGAATCTCTGATAATGGCAAAGCCCTCCAGATGGGCTAATGATTGTGACAACACCATGTGAGAAGTCCCTTTATCTTACTTAACAAGAAGCATCAACATTAAGACTCGCGGGGCCTGAATTTTTATGGTGCAATTTAAAAGACAAAAATGGGAAAACATTAAAATGATTCCAAATATCGTAGACTAATGCATGTCCATTACAAATCCATCTTTTGTCATACATTATTAGAATAAAGCAGTGTATTAGGAAGGTGTCATCAAATTGCAAGCCAGGGAAATCAAGGCCTTTAACCTTTTATTTTTGACAAACTTCCAAACTGTATCAGAGGCTGTCGTAGAGTTTTTTCAAGATTCTAAACTCTGCTGAAAGTATTGTGTAATTTTGTTACGCGTCACGCTTCATAAGGAAAATCGATGCCTTGGTGTCAGTCTGGGTCAAGACTCAATGGGGGCAGATTGGGCAATGAATGTGTTAAACTTCAGCAAATAAAATACTATGAGAGCAGAAGTACTTCAGTACAATTCATATGATGTCTTTGTTTAAAATGTATACTACTATTGGTTAAGTTATTGATCTGTGTGCACACAGTAGTGTGAGTGTGTTTTTGTCTTTTCTGATCCAAGTATCTCTATTGTAAGCAGATATTAAGGCAGCAGTAATGCTGTAAAATAAATATGTATAACAACAACAACACCAACAACAATAATAATAATTATTATTATCATTATTCAATTCAATTCAGAAATTCTTTATTAATCCCAAAGGGAAATTATTGGTTGTTGTAACTCATTATCATCGTTTCATTAAGAGATTTTATAGATACTGATGGCTGTAGGCAGGAAGGATCTCTTGTAAAGGTCCATCCCACAGTGGATCTGAAGAAACTGGTCGCAGATGCCGTCCGATCTGTCCACCCAGACTCGGCTGGCCTCTTGGTTCCTCCAGGCTGCATGACCACCCGAATGCTGGGCTGAACTCCTCCCAGCTGCCTGCCAAGCTCCTTGTCTCTGTGGGCAGCCGACTGCAGGTGCTGGGGGACGATCCTGTCCTTCTACTGTCAGGCATTTGAGCACAGCTGGCAAGAAGACGGGAATGCATCTACGGCGCCTCCTTTTCAACTTGTTTGAGATTTGGGGCTGTGGCTGAGATATTATTTTAGCTTTGAGGCATTAATCATCTGCTCCCGGTTGTAAAAAAAACAAACAAAAAAAACAACAACAACAAAAAAACACATTGTTATGGTTATGCATCATAACAAATGTCCAAAACTAAAAATGTTTCAGTAAAAATTCTTCCAGCTGCACAGCTTCCGATACCAGAGGAAACAATCATCCAAAAAATGTGATTTACATCCAGAAAAAGATGAGTTAAAGTTTCCAAAAGCAAAATCTCAGAATGAATAACAGAGCTACTCCAACATGCAGCCACCCCGAGTGGTGCAATTCTAGAATTGTATTATTATTATTATTATGATTATGATTATTATTATTATTATGATTATTATTATTATTATTATTATTATTTGTAGTAAAGCACAAAGATTAACTTAAATCACATGTTGCTTTGAACAATATCTCTAAATTAAAATATTTTCATTTGATTGCTTTTGTAATTGCATGTATAGGAGGACCATAATCTAAAAAAAATATTAAAATGTAAAGTTTTCTTTATGTATTTCCTGCCTCCCACACTGTGTCTATCAGTTTGCCAGTAATTACCATGGTGTCTGATCTGAAGTGCATTTTACAAAAGCTATTTTGTATATTTGTTGTTGACATTCATATCTGTGGGAAGTTGAGTGAAAAGGTTTTCTCCCCTGAAATTTGTAATGTCACCCTTGGCATGGATAAAATGTGTTTTTCTTTAATGCTTTGTCACCTTATATACATTCTCACCACAGACCACGTGTGTGGGTTTGAGGATGAACGGATCTGTGGCTTCTCTCAGGACCGGAGTGACGTCTTTGACTGGACGAGACAGAATAACCTGACACATAATCCCAAGCGATCTGCCAATACAGGGCCGGAGACCGACCGCAGTGGAACAAAGGAGGGTGAGGAAACTGGGGAGTTAGTTTAAAGGCACATTCACGGTCTCAGTTGTAGAACTATAAACAAAACTAAAAAGCCAGACAATAAAGTTTACATAAAAAATGCAGCAATATACACAAGATTTACCGTTTCATTTTATGTTATATTTTGATATTAAGTTGAATTATTTAAATATTGAATAAATGTTTGTAACTATAAAATCAACATGCAGTAATTATCTCAGAATCACGTCTCTTTATTTGGTGTTTTTTGTCGTTGGTTGCAGGATATTATATGTACATTGAAGCATCACGCCCCCGTGCTCAAGGGGACAAAGCACGTCTTCTGTCCCCACTGTTTAATGTGTCTTCAGTCAAGGGTCCCAAGGGCTCTGGCAGAGTGCCGTACTGCGTTTCCTTCTACTATCACATGAAGGGCAAACACATTGGTGAGTGATGAAGACATGTCTATAAATGCAAACAAATTGTGCTTAACCATATGAAACAATCCTAATCACACAATTTCACACACAGTTAAAAATACAGAATGTGCCATAAGACTTCTTGTGTCAAACAGTGAACTCTTTGCTTGACCCCTAAGTGTAGAGCTCGTTACTCACACGGTGTGTGTATTTGTAGGAGAAGTTTGAGGCGGGTGACAGGATGTTAGCAGTGCTCCGTTTGTATGTTTCTTCTTTTACTGTCTGCACGTGTGTGTGTGTGTGTGCGTGTGTGGATGGGGGTGTTTGAAGAGGGCAGAGGCTCTATGATTTATTGTGGGGTCATGATACAATCAGTCATTTGGCAGAGCTATTCATCATAATATGCTATGTCACACAGAACACATACATCTTGGAGCCTACAGCGCTGCACACAAGGCTGTACACAAGGCTAACACACACACACACACATACGAGCAGACACTTTTTCTGCAGCTCTGGGCTGCACAAATGTGCAACAGGTGCTAAATAATTCAAAATAATTTATTTTAAATAAAAATCCCATGCCGATCGTGCGGCTCATCCATCAATCAGCCAATTGTGTGTCATGTAAACTGTATATACAGGTATATATAGACTTAGTCAAAAAATAATGGTGAAAAAATTACAAAACAAATCGATGAAATAGACAGTGGTAGTCAGAGTGGTCATTAACTTGTTGTTTTTCAAAGGATATTGAACTACTCCAACTAGTTTTCATGTACTTGATGATTCTGCATTAAACATTTAAAAAAAGCCTAAACACCCTTTGACAAAATGTATATTTTGAAATGTGTTCATATGTTGCAGTCCTCAGAATGCAAAGGGCCTAGCAAAAAAGAAGTCTAGAGATTGTTAGGAGAGTAGGACGCAACTTCCAAAACAATATGCAGCTGACGTGTTTGTTCAACCCAATATGTCCCTTTTCAAGCTCCCCAACAGCAACAACAAACAATATTTAATTAGTTTTGTTTGCCACAAGGTAGCATGTCTGAATAAGCTGAGTTTGCAAAGTGCAGCTGTTGATAGCGATTCACTAGATTATTTTTATTCTAGAAATACATAATGGAAATTGGGACATTTAAATAATGGAATTCTTGCATTTTTATTTGGTTTAAACCTTTACTCAGTAATATATAATTGATGTGGTAATGTTCCCAGGGGTTTACTATATAACAATAGTTGTGGTTCAAACCAGCAGTAAACTTTGAATGAACATTAACATTTGAGATTCAAAACCAACTCCGCCTGACTTTTAGCTATTAAAACAAAATAACTGATTTGGGTTTAGGTGAAGCAGTGCATACACATCTGTGTCTGACTGTGAATGTCTAGGACTTTGTCCACTTGTGATTTGTCAGACAAGTAGCTCTGATAGAGCTGTGTCTTCTCCTCTGAATCTCTGGCACTCTTACAACACTCTGCAGTCCCTCAGTCCAATCAATGGACTCCATATCAGGTCCTCTTTAGCCTCTGCAGTGTGTCGAGACGTGTGGGTGCAAGTTTGTGTGTAGGTGGTGATGAAAGAGCAAAGACCCAATAAGACCATATTAGGTGGTAATACAGAAAAACAGGATGAAGAAGTAACTGGGTTACATTTAAAATTGTCTTTTAAGACCGTTATAAAATTATAGAGACATGGATGTGCTTTAACATCAAACAAACACACTTTTAAATACATAAGTGTGTGTGTGTGTGTATGTGTGCACTAAGAGAATCAAAATTGAACCTCCCTTCGTTGTCATGTCCATCAGATGTAAAGTCAACATATTTAATTTCCAGTTTAAGACATTAATCGTTATCAGCTTTGCTCTTTTTAATATTAGTCTATAATTATTGCTCACACACTAAAAGAATGATTTATTCACATATGCAAGCATATGACTAAATACTGCATGCACTTGCTCATTCATTAATATGGCAAATAGTGCACGGATCCCCCCCAGTTGTATATTTGTTTAGGCGACTGGTGGTTGGTTAATGGTCCAATTAGGAGCTGGCTGGAGATCGTTAAGAAGATGAATGTTTCTCTCACATCTTAGAGAGCTGAGTGAGACAGACAAGAGAGAGGGAGCCTATTAAGACCCCTTCTTGTGGCTCACACATCCTTTCTAAAACCTTCACATCACACGACAGTGAAGTGTGTTCAGTATATATACTTTAAAAGAGTAATTAACACATTCAACAAATGCCTCTGCCATAGTTTCTCTTTCTTGCTCTTTCTTTCGATCACCTCTGAACTGGTAGCTTGGTTGAATATTCTCTGTCTCTGTCAATGTGAAGCAAATTTATTGTCTGTGCTTCAGTGTAGAAATTAAAACAAATCAGAGTGAATTTTGACCTATATGTTGCTGTTCTTACCTTAACTCAGTGTTCAGTATATTATTGATATTTACATTAGATTAGATCAAAATTAAAAAGGCTATATGACATTATGTTGCATCATTTGTTCAACCTTTATTTATACAGATTAGTTTCATTGAGCCTCAAGGACTCATTTACAAGAGAGACCAGATTTTAATAAAGAATGATGACAACAGTAGCCAACAAAGATAGCAATAGACAATCATAAAATACAGCATACAAACTGAAAAATAAATCTAAGATGATGATGTAAAATAAATAAATAAAAAAAACAGCTACATTATAAAGCAATCTAAAATACGGAAAACAGGAACATGTCTGCGTTGGCTTTGAACATGAACTTAGCAGATGTTTGAAGTCACTCAAAGAGGTCAAGGTCGAGAGCTTCAAATGTTTTTGAAAGATTTTCCAGGAAACAGGAGCGGAGTAGAAGAAGGCCCTTTTGTCTAGTTCAGTCTGCACTGAGGGAACACTGCAGGTAATGATGTCCTGAGAGTGCACGCTGTAGCTGCACTCATGCAGTGACATGTAGGAGGAGATGTATGAAGGCAGCAGACCAAGAAGTGATTTAAAGATGAAAATGTACCAGTGGAAGAGTCTGAGTAGAGTTCATGATGACCAGTTAACCAGTGAATACAGGGTGCAATGATGGGTACGCTAGATAAAGACAGTTATGAATCTTAGCGCACCGTGACAGACAGCGTTCAACATCTGCAGGGTTCTTGTAGGAGCGTTCATGTAAATAATGTCACCTTAGTCAATGGAGGGAAGGAAAGTTACAGATACAAGGTGTTTTCTAGCATTCAGAGTTGGACAGGGTCTATTTCTTAAAAAGAAACACAGTTTTACTTTCAGTTTCTTTGCCAAGTTTTCAACATGGGGCTTATAGGAGAGATGCGAGTCGGCCAAGATACACAATTATCTGTAAGATTCGACAAACTCAATAGGAACACCATTCAAAGATAAAATAGAAGGAAGGACTGCTGGGACTGACAGCCTGTTTGGAAACAACATCCCTTTGATTTTGTCAGCATTTAGCACCAGTTTGAGACTGATGCTAAAGAGATAATGTTGAGATAACATTTAGTTCCTGGATTTTTTATAATACCTGATCTTGTTTTGTAGTGGTGCCACACGAACAGCCAATTAAGTTTCTAATGATCTGTACTTGTGTGGCTGTGTTTGTGCAAATGTGTACTCCCTTGAATGCATATGTGCACATTTTTCACAGGTACGCTTAATGTACTTCTGAGAGTGAGAAGCATTGCTCCTGTGGACTCGGTGGTGTGGGCAAAGTCTGGTCATCAGGGCACTGACTGGAGGAAAGCATCTTTTGACATTAGTCCCAGCGGTCCCTTCCAGGTAAGGGTTTAATGATTGCTTTTCTGTTACTATAGGAAATAAAAAAATAGTATTTAATAATGTGTACAATTTGGACACAGTAAATCAGCTAACAACTGTTTAGTCTTTCTCCAGGAAAAATAAGATGTAACCAACCAAACCATACTGAGTGCTTGTTTGCATAACTGTAGGAACCCTCCCCCTCAGCTCTACCTTGTAACACTAAGCAGCTGAGATTTGTTGCATGAAATTCAGTACGTGACCTGCAGGTATGACCCAGTCATCTGTTAAGGGACAAACATGCTGTGTGCTCTGTCCTCTTAGCGTGAGTTTTGAAGGATTCAACCTCTAAAGGCAATTCAGTCTTCAGTGCTTGCCCCTTGATTTTTATCACGGCCCAGCGCCGCCGCTTTGGCTTGCTTCAGGAAAAAGAAAGAAGGGGGGGGGGGGGGCTCCCTTTTACTTGTCATCTTTCTCATTGTTTTGACATTTCTTCTACTGCACCCATTTCTTCTCAACTGTGTCTTTCCCAGAAGGTATTGCTCCACTCCAGCATCACATGAACAGAAGACTTTTATACACTGGGTTTATGGAACCCAGGAAAGTCCACAAAGGGTTGGGGGGGGGGGGGGAGTTTGCTTAAGATTTGATTAATGTTTCAAAATGGATTTGGCACTGTGACATTTAAAGCTGCAAAGAAAACCAGAAAAATTCATTGAATTTTAGATTTACTACACTGAATTTACTTCAAGAGTAACTTCTACCCTATACACTTTGCTCATGGCCAGAATAATTTCCCCTTGGTAAAGGTAAAATATCAACAAGTACTGAGCAGGAAAGAAATGGTGCGAGCTGCAAGTCGGTGGTGAGAATGAAGAGAAACAAAGCTTTTTTGTTTGCAGCTTTGTTTTTCGTTAGTGCTCCTGCCAGCTCCTAGGGTCTCTGCAGCAGGGTGATCTCATAAAATATTCTATAACAGTATAAAGACATGATCAAGTGATATAATTTACTATGAAGCTACAAAGATTTGATCAGAACAGTTGCATTAATAAAAATCATAAAAATGATTGTACATCTCAATAACCTTCAATCTTTGTGTCAGCAGAAATGGTGAGGATTTCTCTTTTTTTTTTAAATACTGTAAATGTAGGTCACACAGTTTTTGACTTTTTAGTGCAAATGCAAGGACTGAGAAATAAAAGCCTTTTGAATGAATAGTTGGCTTTTTTTCTAAGAACAGCAGGAAGAGGAGCTACACAAAAAAAAATCTGATGAATATTTAATTTCTCAAAACTGTGCTGAATTGTGCGGCACGGTGGCGCAGTTGGTAGTGCTGTTGCCTCTCAGTGAGAAGGTTGCCAGATCAAATCCCAGCCGGGGGCCTTTCTGGGTGGAGTTTGCATGTTCTCTCCATGAATGTGTGGGTTTTCTACAGGTACTCCAGTTCCACAAACCAAAAACATGTATGCTAGGCTGATTGGTAACTTGTCCCTAGGTGTGAGTGAGAGAGGAAGAAGCGAGTAAAGATAATGGATGGATGTGCTGATTATGAAGTCTAGAACCATATTTTTCTGCTGATTTTAAAGAGCCACATAGGTTAATATACATGTTTGTCCTAAACTATGAATGCATACAGAATGAAGAGAGAATGGTGAATTAATTAGTTTAGTGGTCTTTATTAATAGAGAAGTGTTTGTCCTTCCTGTCTTTGACTATGCTTAACTTTAGTTCAAGAAATTAAAATTTTCTTTCATCTGAAATTTTGTAGTTTAAAATAAATAGACAAATGTAATAAATAGTGGAGAAAATGGTATGAGAGGTAAGTCAAGAAAAGTGTCCACGTTTGAGCACTATCTGTTGACACATCATTGAGTCCTTGTGGCTGTTTGGCAGCTGTGCTTACAGTCACTTCTTCTCTGTTGGCATGTGGCAGAGTAAACGAGGTGACTCAGTCCGGCTCTTTGACTGGACATGATGCTTCCTCTCTCGCTAATTTTCTCTGCCTCGCTTACTCACTTGTGTGTGTCTGTGCATCCATGTCTATGTACAGTAAGTGTAGAAGGGTTTAAAAAACAAAAACAATGCTGAGTGATTTTATTCCCCTGTGGAAGATTCTGAATCGTTTTTTTTTTTTTTGTCTTCATTTTTTTCTCCTCTTTTCTCTACTTATCTTTTTGTCTTGCACAGCTCTGGGAAAAAGGAACCATCTAGGTCGATTATTGCTCTGGTTCACTTCAAGCTCTCCTGTCTAAGGGTGATAACTAATGGTTCTTTAAAAAAAAAAACTAACTATAAGGCAGACAGTTTTCAGCCTGCTACTTGCATTTTCATCAGTACAGATATTTTTTGTACTAGCATGAGAAAACTACGTTAAGGATGAATATGCTTTTGTAACACATTGTTTCTTTAATGATGAAGCAAACATAGTTTGAAATGTATCTGTACAGTCTTTTTAGACTTTCATGTTGGGCTGGGAATGTGCAAACCTTTTCATGTTTGCAAATGTTAAATGTTTAGGTTTTGAGATTATCACTGAAATGTGAAATGCTGCATATGTGGGAATGTAGTACATTATGATACTGTGTATATAAAGATTACAAAATAAAACATAAGCAATGCTTATTCAGGTTAAAAAAGTTATGAAGATCTATAAATATTTCTCAGAGTTGCAACTTGTTCTGAAGTCCTATCTGCCAAATTCAACTAAGCAAAACTAAATGTAGAGTTTTACAATGTAATTATTGTGCAGAGTGTTAAGATCAGATCCCAAATGAGAGACGGGAGACCTATTTGGCAAACCACAGCATATCTTTGTGTTCTGGTCTCACAAAAACAGAACATGTGAAGTTTCTAAAACATGATATAGTGACAGCTGGTAATGTGTTAAAATTGCATATTAAAACCACAGAAAGTAACACATTTCCCACCACTGACTTGGTTACTAGGGTTACAGTCCTGCCTCTCACACTGGTTACAACTTAGGAGAGAAACCGTGAGATTAGACACACTTCACTTCTCCAACCATAAGCTTTCACTAAACCTTACTAAAAGGGTTTTATTGCTATAATCCATGCCAACCATTGACTAAACTTTATGACATTTCCCTAAGACCTTAAACACAGGTAAAACTAGCAGACATAAATGTGAAACACACCATGATTGAGTTTTGTCTCGCATAGTTTTTTTTTTTTTTGTTACCCCAATCACACTGTCCTTCTACCCTTTCATGTTATCTTTAGATACTTGTTTTCTACCACCTCCTTGAATCGCCACCTTATCATGGTGGTGGAGTTTGTGCACCTGAATGATCCTAGGAGCTATGCTGTCTGGAGATATTTTAAATGCTCCTGGTAGGGTCTCCCATGGCAGAATGGTTCTAGGTGACAGGCCGGACAAAGAGTGATTCAGAAGACTTGTATGGACAAAAGAAAACAAGGAGCTCAGTGTCCCTTGCCCGTATGTGGGTTATCGAGGCCCCACCCTGGAGCCAGGCCTGGGCGAGGGCTTGTCGCTAATGCCTGGTGGCTGGGTTTCTACCCATGGGGCCCAATCAGGCTCAGCCTGAATGAGCAACATGCATTTGCCTTCCTGTGGGCCCACCACCTGCAGGAGGGGCCATATGAGTTGGGTGCATGAATCCATGGGCGATGGCCGAAGATAGGGACCTTGGCGTTCCGACTCTTGGGACATGGAACGTGACCTCTCTGGAGGGGAAGGAGCCTGAGCTTGTGCGTGAGATTGAGAGGTACCAACTAGATATAGTTGGGCTCACCTCAACGCACAGCATGGACACTGGAACCAACCTCCTTGAGAGGAGCTGGACCTTATTCCACTTTGGAGTTGCCCATTGTGAGAGGTGCCGAGCTGGTGTGGCTCTACTCTTAGCCCCCCAGCTTGGTGCCTGTACACCTGTGCCATGCTGGTGAGACTCTGTCTCTTGGTTGGTCTGGGAACGCCTTGGAGTCCTCCCAGATGAGCTGGAATAGGTGGCTGTGGAAAGCAATGTCTGGGCCTCCCTGCTCAAGCTGCTGCCCCCGCGACCCAGCTTCAGAACAAGTGGAAGATAATGGATGGATAGATGTTGCACAAACAAGCAGTTCTGTTGTAAACCTGTAATTTACCAACAACTGTAACTCTTGATTGTTGTTGCTAAAAATAACATGATCATACACCTGACAAGTAGTGATGACAAGTATGCACCATGCACTCTTTCGTTTGTGTAAAAAACAAACAACCAAAAACAACAAAAAAGGTTTTGTTGGTTTATTTTGATAAATTAAGTCCTTTATCCACTAAACTGTAGGTTTTCTGTATAATTATAACCATCCAGGTTATCCCTCAGATTATTAGCAAACAGATTTTGTTTCACAAGATATTTATTGGATATTATAAAAACTGCTTTGCATCCATGAATTCTCAGCATTTGATAATCTAGTTTTCTTCGCTCGGTGATATCTAATTATAAACTGTCCATTAAAGCAAAGCAAAGAAAGAGCAATTAAATTTTTTTAAATAAATATTAAGAACATGGCTCATCATCTACCACAGAAAACTGATGTTTTGATGATACTTGGAACTGTTCACATCAGTTGTGAAAGCTTATTTTCTTTAATTTAGTCCACATCTGTCTTTGACACACACACACACACACACACACATATACCATACATTTGTATGTTATAGCTTAGTCGTTTGCAAATTTGTATACAATATGTAAGTCTAGAGCAGTTGTTTCTTCATAGTCTGCAGCTAGTGCAAATCAGTGGCTTTCTGTGTGTCTTGGGATTAATTTAAAGATGTTTTTCATTCCATAGGTTGTAAAAGGGCTGGCCTTTGACTGACCTTTGTATATAAAGATCTGAGGTCAGTCACCTCCAGGTAATTGTAGTTTGCCATTTAATTACCTGATTCAACTTCTGTTGTTGTGGAAAATGCTATATAGAACAAATTGAACTTTGACTCTTTTTCTAGTCATCAATCTAAAACATACCTGTGATTATTTTTATTGACTGCCTGTAGAA